TTATTTTCGTTGCTACTTTATAACTGTAATTTTGCTACTGTTATGAATCAGGTGACCCCAGTGAAAGGGTTGTTCAACCCCCAAAGGGGTCACGACCCACAGGTTGAGAACCACTGTTCTAAGTGAAAAGGGCTGGTAAAGTAGAGGGTATGCAAAGGGGTAGGAGATCCTCAGTGGGATGAATTGATCCAGAAGCCCAAAGTGGTTTCCAAGGGAACAACCATGAGAACATGCTGCAAGAGAAGGCAGCATTCATTCAGATGCATTAGGGCCATCAGGAGTTGCAGTCCACTCACTAGCACCAAAGGATGACAGCAATCACCAGGTAAACATAATCACAGCAATGCATGCATATGTTATATTGGAGTCCATTCATTTCTTATCCATTTTTCTCATTTTCTAATAAATGTTGTTAAGGCTACTGACTTTGTATGTTTTAATATCTAGGCTCTCCTGTTGTTCATTTGTGGGCTTATGATTTTAGCTTTGGTTTCCTCTTTAATTTGATTTACTTTAAAAAATCTGTTTTACAATAATAATTTATAAATTATCAAGGGTTCATGGGGGTGGGGTGGGGAGGGAGGGGAAATATGAGGAGCTGATACCAAGGGCTCAAGTAGAAAGCAAATGTTTTGAGAATGATGATGGCAACAAATATACAAATGTGCTTGACACAATGGGTGTATGTATGGATTGTGATAAGAGTTGTATGAGCCCCTAATATAATGATTTTTTAAAATCTGTTTTAAAACTCCCAAGTAGAGAGTGTTTGAGTTTATTTTTTATTTAAGTTTTTTGTTTTTAATTTTTCAATTTTATCAAATTCCTGTCAGAGACTTTGATCTGCAGAATTTCTACATTTTGGATTTATAGGGATTTGGGTTTTTTCCTTTTTCTCCCACCGGGTTTAATGCATAAGCAACTATAGGAAGTGTCCCATGAGTCTATGGCACACATTTGTGTTTCTGTTTTTTGTGTATTATCATCTAGGATGTCAGCCCCAAAATTGGGGAGTGTTCTTCCTTCTTTTTCCATTATTGCTTCAAATTACTCTTCTAAAACATGTATTCTCTATCAGTTCAAGGGAATTTGAGACAAATGGGGTAGACATTGTGCTCATTCGGCCATACTAACACAATCTCCGGGGCTTCATCCTCTATCAATTTCCATCTATATTTTCCTTGTTATTTTTATCTCCTATGCTCCCAGTGCTTGGCACATCTTGGTGAAACCTCCATTGCAGTCTCGAAACCCCACAGGTGCAGTTCTACCTTGTACTGTAGGGTATCTGAATTTGAGTTTGGTTTTAAGTTATACTCCCGGTTTAATGAGATCTCTCACTCTAACTTTTGAGTTCTCTACACTGTCCCTAGAGTGATTCTCCTAAAACATAGATCTGAAGTCAACTTGCAGTCCATGGTGGCTCGGGGTTGTCTCTCCAGCCACCTAGACCTACTTGTTAGTCTCCATTTGGGAAAGCATAGCCTTTCCTCTGGGCATTTGATTTTCCTTGTTCTTGTTGGTAGTTGCTATTATGTTGACTCTGACTCTTGGCGACCTTAGGTGTAATGGAATAAACCCAGGCCTGGTCCAGCCCCCTCCTTATGACCATTGGTACGGTCAAGTCCATCAATAAGACTATTGTGTCAATCTACCTACTGAAGGTTTTTCTTTTTTGGGGGTTTTTCATTTTCATTGGCTCTCAAGTTCATCAAACATGATGTCCTTTTCCAGTGAGTGGTCTTTCCTGATGCCATGACCAAAGTAAATGAGTCAAATTCTTGCCATCCTCACTTCTAAGGAACATTCTAGGTCTATTTCTTCTCAGACTGATTTTTCCTTCCCTGGAATTTGCCTGGAATGTTTTATTCCCAGGTCTCCGTATCGGAGAATAAAACGAGTGAGGAAGTCCGTGGCTGTAGGCCCTCCTTCCTCCTTGCTTTTTTTCTTCAAAGCCCTTGTCACAATGAATCTTCCCTGCAAGAATGTTAATTTCATTGTTCTGTATATTTTGTATCCAGGTTCTGGAACAAGGTTTGACACACAGTATTCAAAAAACGAATGGGGTGGGGTGGGAAGGATGGCAAATTAGGTTCTTGGGTAAACGCAGCACCAGGATCATGGGATGAACTAGATGTTGAATGGGTATCGGATAGGATCAGGCTAACAGTCCTGTTCTGAACACCACGTTCGTTAAAACTTTTCTCATGTTCATAAATATTTTCCAGACATAGAATCGCTGGATCTCAGCTCCCCAGTCCCTTCTAGAAAATCTTCCCTCTCCTCTCCCTTACAGGCAGAGAGTGATGTCTACACCTCTATCAAACCATCCCTTCCAACACTGCAGGTTCTCACTGGCCTTATCGGGCATCCTCTTTCCCCTCTCTGAGCTTCACGAAGGCAGGGCCTGTGATTTGTCAGCCTAGTGCCCGCCCCTCTGATGATCTGTCACTAGGCAGGCTCAAATTAAAGAATGCCTTGGGTAGGCCTCTGGAACCATGGTCCTTAGGCTCTGCCAACGTCAAGCAACTTCACAAGCTTCTACGAAGGGAGGGATCGTGAAAAATGCGAGAGTAGTGAAACAGTTATCTCGGAACGCTTTAAGCGTTTTTGTTCGGTGGACCAACCTACCGGTCCGACTGCACAAACAAGAGATCCGCGCCTAGGCCTTCCCTTTCCCTAATATCCGCAAGGGCCCATTAATCCCTAGCATTCAAATTCCGCCCACTAAACCAGCCCCTCAGGCGCTCAGCCGCCTCTTTTTCACAAATGACGGCCGGCGGCAGCCAATCAGCATCTGACCTGGGGTTCTGCCCCCTTTTCCCTACTCGTTACTGACAGGCTCTCTCGCCAATAGACGGACACGTCTCAAAGGACCCGCCCCCTCTAGGCCACTTCAGCCAATAGAGGGTGGGTTCTGGCGCTGCGTAGGCGGCCGTGGTTTGAGGCGGGGCGCGGGCGCGCAGGTGCAGCAGCGAACAGGCCTGCCGGG